GGTAACGTGCACTGAAAGCTCCTCTTTTAATTTTCCTCTGAGAGAAGCTTTTGGTTATCAGACTCCCGTCCAGGCCAGTGAATTTACACAGAGCCACGTCAGTCACTCTCCTCAATGCTTCCGCTCCGACCACCACACTGTCTGAGATATTGGATTTATTCAACTTATTCTGTGTTTGATGGCGATAATCTGATTGCACATTTAGTTGATTTAATTTAGCATGCTTGAGACCAGACCATGCAGGGCTGTTGACAGACTATTAGCTCGTGGCAACAGGGGATCTCTCAGATGAGGCTGTGTGTGTGTGCGCGTAAGCTGAAAGGGTCTTCTTCATATTACATGATGTAGTAGCTTTGGCAGATTGGGTTGCTTCGACCTAGAGTGTGTGTACCCAGGGGATTCTGCTCTGCTTGAGAGAGACGATAACACGACCTCTCAAACACAGTTAATGAGCTCTAACAACCAGACTGATGACGCTCATGCATTAACCAAACCGATGAATCCCTCCCTCTTTCCTCTCTGCTCGCATCTTGTCTCTTGTCCTTTGCCTTCTGCGAAACAGAATAAAATATGCTAATTAAGATGAGCAGCTCTGCTTTTTACATGTGCCATGCTATCATAGGCTGAGAAAAAACTATTGTATTTATGTGAAAAACATTTGTAGTTGTTGGTTGTGAATGGGAGAATATTTGATCTCCTAGGTTAGGTACAAGGTTTCAAACGTGATTGGGTGAACCATCTTGTCGATCACCGTCTACCACAAGCGAACTTCAACCGATCAGATCAACGAACCAAATAACGTTGTCAAACTCTTACGGAAGTCAGTCGGGAGAAGACTGAAAACATCTTGAGAAAAGCCTTCAGTGCTCTTCCTTCAATGAAGAAACACTTTCCAGTTCTGATATAACTGAGGCTAGCAGCATCTATGCTAACGTGTTTAGCAGCTGCCATTGTCAACAATCACTCAGCTCATGCCATAACTGCCAGTAGTTCATTGACACTGATTGGGTCAGTATCACCGTAGGAAGTCCAGCTGCCTCGCAAGGTTACAAGGTTTCTGACATTAAGTTTGCAAATTGGCTCTGTCTGCCTCACAGTCCCTTTTAAAGAGGCAATTACCTTTAATTTACAACTTAAAACAGTCCAAAACCTATTCATCTTATGATTAATTAGCCCATCTACTTGCTTCACTTTGTGCATTGGGTTTTGGGATAGTTTCTAAATGGCTTAAAGGCCTATATAGTTGAACTGTTATCACCAATGTTCTTTTTAGCACACAGCCTGAGGACATGGTAGTCCAAAGTCAGAATTTTAAACGTAAGTTTTTTCCGGTTTCAATTTCTTTCAATGTGCACTTTTCATGTGAATTTAAAATAGGTCAAAGGGTAAAGTCAATTCTATTATATACACTGGCTTACCTTGTAATTGATGAATTGGTCCATGCAGTTTTTGATCGTTGCCTTATTTCGTTTGGATGAGCTGCTCCTGACTCTGGCCGTGCCATGTTCACTCAGTCAGCGTGGGTGGAGTGGCGTGATGAATGGGAGCTGCCCGGTAAGGGGATTTATACGACAATAAAGGAGGCTGGTTATTGATGACTCCGTAGACTTTACAGTGATCAATAGCTAAACCGAGTTAGCAAAGAGCCGTTTAGATAAGCTCTCAGCATTTTCAGTGATTTTTTTCCATACAGCTAAAAGTAAAGAAACATTCTTTTACTTTCTTTGTAATTCTTCACTTCAGGCTCTCTTGGACAAACAGAGACATGGAAAGGGAGACAGAGAGAGAATGATAGAGGAAGATAACAGCACAAAGAGACAGAGAGAATAGTGGGGAAAGAGACAGTGCCAGTAGCAATATACACTTAGAGAAGTCTTCGTTTCCATGTTAACAATGTGATATTTGATATTTTGTTGCATTTGTGCTCTGGCGAAGGCATAATTGCAGAATAAGGCTTGTTTTGACAAGCTTTTCTGTTACAATTCAACATTTTCAGCGATTGTGCTGCTTTGAACAAAAATTACACAATCTATTCTTCAGATAAACAGATTTATACATATTTATAAATCAAGAAAATTGTGACGATATAGCATCCATGAATATAGCTTATACAATATATCACATATGCATACGTTTTTTTTTTTTAAATCAAAACACTGTTGTAATGTCTTGTGACATACTAATTTCATATCGCCCAAAGCACATGTCACAGTTCACATACAACATTAACTAATTTAGTTATATTTCCGTGCACTGCATTCAGACATATAGAATTTGAGTAGCTTGGTGACTTGGTGAAATATGTGGATGTTAAACATTGATTCACATTCACCCTGTGTCTCTCCTGCTGTGCCAAGCTAAGGATCCTGGGAAGTGATGATGGCACGCAGTTGTCCTGAAAGCCTGCCAGAGAGCAATGGGTGGAAAATAACAGTCCAATCACACACAATCTGTTTGTCCAGATCAGGACACAAGCCCATTTCACAGGCCTGAGGGAGAAACGATAAACAATACATCAATTGACCTTTCCCCCCCAATATATTCACTCCTTGTGCATTATCAAGTGTAGAAAAGATGCTGTTTCCACCACTTCCCGTCTTCTTATACCCCAAAGACGTTAAATTGTTCCATGCTGAAAAAAAGCCCCTGTGGTCTATTCTTAAAGGAAGCCAACCCTGCTAAACAACGTTGTGTACGTAATTAGTTGTTAAGGCAAACAAGGGCATGTCATTTCAAATCAATGTTTGTTTTTATTACATCAGAGAGCTGGTCATTTTGAAAACTACTGTCACTGGATGTCTCTATCTTCACTCCACAACACCAACATCCTTGGTAAGAGTGTGCAGAAAAATGTGCCACCACAATTTCAAACATCTGGTTTTCTTACATTAATCACAGACTGCTGAAGAAACAGTCAAGGTGGTTTTGCAGAGGGTTTTGGCAAAAAAAAAAAAAAAAGTAGATAATAGTCTTGGGAAGCTGTTGAAATTAGCACAACTGAGTAATTATCAGCATTTTGAAAGTATAACAGGTCGCAGTGTCTCAGGAGCGTCAGAGTATGAAGACGTTAATCTCACGGCCAACATCACAAAGTTTGAGAGCAGCACGGAAGGTGCAGTGAATGAGACTCACACTGGGTACAGTTTGGCTTGCCTCTGTGGTTGACATTAGAAAGACTGGACTCAACTCAATTAGACTAAAACAATGTTTGATGCACAAATGAGCAAATGGATTTTAGAATAATTTGTCCCTACAATTAACATTCCTATTGACAGAGACAGATATCAGTTGTGTTGGAAGAAGCACTAACAAAGAGCAAATATGATCAGTTCTTCTTTTCTGTTTTCTAAATCTCCTCAAACAAGGATAGAACCACGTATGTATTAAGAGACCTTTTTTTGTCCATGCAGCATACAAAAAGACTTTACTATATTATGTCAAGACAAGATAATTAAAATAAGTATATCCCCCTGTGACCCTGAATCCTCATATAGGGACAAAGTTTTATAGTAAATAAAGTCCTGATGTCCTCATATGTGTGTTTGTGAAAACTACTAATTGTTCAAAGACAATGCTTAGTTTTTATGTTTATCAGGTCCTACTAATCCCAAATAGCTAGTAGAGAGAACCCCTAGGGGATTTGGACACAACAGTTTCTCTCTTCCTGTTCTAAATAAGTAGGTTTAGTTAGTTCTCAGGGAGATCTGCTAATGATCACCTGATTTGTGGTGGTATGTCATTTTGCTCCCTTACCCGAGACTATTGTCACAAATAGTACAAGCAGGGTAGCCATGAACACAAGGAACTGGACCCAAATGCAGACACCTTGAGGCAGAGCTAGTGCAGTGGAAATGACTTTAGAGCAAAAAGTCAATGAACAAAAGGCTTACAGGGGACGAGGATGCAGGCAAAGGTCAAATCTAGAAAAAGCAGTCCCAAGAGTATAACAAATCCAATAGGATTTAGGGAAGAATCAAACTCCAATACACAACAAGGTCCAAGGAAGACAAAGTAAAAGTCCAAGAACACTGGCAGAACAAAAACAAATATAAAAATATGACAAGAAACAATGGACATGAACGAATAAAAATCATGACAACACAATCAGTGTGAGACATAACAACTATGAACTCCATAATTGCCTTTGTTTCTTTCTAACCCATATGGCAAAAACAATTGCAACACAATTTTAGGGAGCTGGACTGCTTTTAGTTTTATCCATTTCTTGAAAATTGGTGCAGCATTAAGGCCTTGTCTGTCATTTCTCAGCTATAACGCACGATGCCCTGCGAACAGTAACAACCATAAGGGCTGGGTTATGCTCATAAAGAACTAGTTCGTAGACGTGTTTACTGCTAGTCGTTCCGAATGGCCTCACTTGAAGGCAGGATTAACGAAGGAGTCGTTTAAAGGTCAAGTGTGTAACCTTTAGAAGAATCTATTGGCAGAAATTGAATATCATATTCATAGGTATGTTTTCATTACCGTATAATCACTTAATATAGGAATTGCTGTGTTTTTGTTACCTTAGAATGAGCCATGTTGTACTGCTATGTTTCTACAGTAGGCCCGAACAGACAAACCAAAGACTGGCTCTAGATAGAGCTGTTTGCAAGGATAAAGCAATTGAGCTGTAATCTGCAACTATACTGCTAGATGCCTCTAAATCCTACACACACTGGACCTTTAAAGATCCTGGCAAGTTTAAACTGAGCAGTTTTAAAGCCAGTGTGGCTCTTGGTCCCAAAAGGAACAGCGTGTGCTCTCAACAGCACCTGACCCCCGGGGCAGAATCAATACTCACCTCTCTTATAGGCCATTTCGGCATTCAGCCAGCCAGAAGGGGTGGCCAGCTAGCCCCTGCAGCTTACAATGACCAACAAGCCAAGAAAGTCAACCTACACATTCTTTGGCTTTGAAAGTTCACCAGAACAAAAGACGAAGCAAGTTAAAATCCTCTTTCACATACATTGTAATTTATTCTTTCACCATTTGGACAAAGTTTGATAAGCGTACACAATATATGATGACTGCATACACCCGAACACAGTCAGTTTTTACTGATTGGTTCCTCACAGCAAATATACTGTACATAACCACTTTTTAAGAGAAAACAAAAATGAACATAACTGATTTGGGCCTCTTGAAGAATACATTCAGACAGAACCACTTTGGTCCAGAAAGGGGAGTGACCCAAGCTGCTGGTTTGAAAAACATATATGGATATGGTCACAGCTTAAAATACATTTATTAGTTTGAAATAAAATTAGCAATATACTTTGACCATACTTATATACTCTACTGAATATTATTTTTACTGAAGGTGCACAACATTCCTTTGTTACTGTGTCAGTATGCAAACATTTCACCTGCTCTGCAAAACAAGAAAAACACTGTAAATTCACCTCTGACCAACAGCAGTGCCAGTGTGTGCTCCCAGCTCAATTCTCAGTATTGATATCTACCTGCTCTATTACAATTCTCAGCAGACGCTGATGAAAAATAGCCTGCAGCACCTGGCTGAAGTGAAAATGCACAGAGCTATTATCCAAATGATAAACATTTCGCTGGTGTTTCGCTGATTTAGCTCTGAACTATGAACTACTACGCTGAGAGTGGCTTCCATAATAAAACACAGAGCTGTGTCTTCCCTGTGCCTTATATAGGCATGACTTCTGGGAATGTCATGTGTTGCAATACTGTATATGCTAGTGTCGAACTGACTCATAACGACCTCTGACCTCTGTGCTCTGTGTGAAGCCAGTAGCACTGGTTTACATCAACCTATCGCTTATCTGTAGCCAATGATTCATCCTACTGTGGCACATCCATAAATCTGGAATACTGAAACTACACACATTCATACCCACAAGAAAATATACTTGTACATACATACACACACATGTCATGAAATATATTGACAGCAATCAAATAAATCAACTATATAAACATATATACACACAGTATTTACCAATTATAAATTAACATTGTGCAAATAGTCATACATACAAAGTCAAGTTGAGTTAGTTCTGGCAAAATGTTTTGTGACTCAAAGATTAATGAATGCTCTGCAGAAGCTTCTCTTCTTTAAAAATAAATGCCATGTTTTCAGAAGCAAATGTACCACTGCTTATTTAGCTTTCTCTGTTGCTAGAATGCTTACTAGAGAGGTTTTGTTCTACTCTATGGTGCAGAGTTTTGTTCTAAACTCCCCGTGTCCCTGCAGACACGGGATAAGGCTGAATAATAAACACTGTCTGTAGAGTAACTAGGCGCATGCAGTCATTAGCACAGGCTCTCTGACTTTTTGGCGCTTGCACAGTGGAGATACTGATGCGATGACACTGTATGGCACAAATCCTCAGCGAATGATGCACACAACTGATGACTTAAGTTCACTAAATCTGCCCAATCTGCATGCATGACAGCCTGTATTTAACATCGTAAAAACACACTTGTTCCAGAGATGCTATTTTGAGTCACAGTGTTGGATTCATAGATTATGCATGTGTGGATTTATAGTTCATGTCTATATGCTGTGTATTTTTATCCTTGATTTGAGTGCATGGTTTCCCCTATGAACATTCATCGTAAGGGTTGAGTGCACTACTGTTTCCCAAGGTATGTGCGTCAGACAACATCTTGATGACAAGGGGAGAATAAAACATATTTAATGGCACAGAATTGCAACTATTTCCCTCAAAAACACACCTGGCACATTTACACAGTTACAACTGTAGCCCTCAGCAGTATCCAAGGTTTAGACTTATATAAAAAGGATTTATTTTTATTGTAAAACACTTCACTACGTCAAGCCACGATCATTTCAGCTTATTTATAATTTATCCCATACCATCTCTTGACCTCTTTTAATGTCTATATCTAAGCCAGGAATGACCTGGTGAGCTGCCAATTTCCAATGGGCCATTAAAGGGGCCACTTCAACACTGTGGTCACCTTACTGTATGAGATACAGTCAACATAATGTTTCTTCTTTTTCTGTACATTTTCATCATAGTCAATATAGACAATAAACCATTTACAGCTATCGAAGCAAAGGAAAAAAAGAAAAAGAAAGCATTTTCTTCTGTTCCCTATCATCTTGTTTTGTGTCACTTGTTTGGTCTTTTTTGTGTATGCAGTTCAATGTCCAGTTTGTCTTTAACCTCCAGTACCACAAAACACACATTTGATACACATCACAAATTAAAGCAGAGGCTTAAGCAAGGACCCTGTGTCTTTTTGTTGTTGTTGTTGTTGTCTCCTTTTGTTTCTGTTGTTGCTGTTTGAGGTTTTAGGGTTTTTTTCTTATTATTTTACATGGCTTAACTGCCTTGCAACGCTGTTGTTGCATTGTTCAACATGCATCAGTTTCTTTCAGTATCTGACAAACATCCACAAAAGTCCATTGACGAGGCTCACAGCACATTAACATCGCAGTGTGGATGTCTGCCGTATTCATTCTCAGGCTGTGGAGAGGGCTGAGTGCTGCTCGGTCTCCCAGTGACACTGATCTCTGGGCAAAGACCAGTCTGACAGATGACTCAGATGATCAGCCCAGCTCTTCACAGCCACCCAGGGCATATGTCAGAGCCACATGAGAGCTCAAGGCCCTCCAACGTTCTTCAATTTCTTGTTCCCACCGCCTTTTACAGGTGGCTCTCCACATTCTCTCTCTGACCGTCGTAACACTGCACCTTGTCCGTGAGGCTGATGTCCTCCACTAGGGTGCAGTTGCTGTTGGTTCCTTCGTGCAGCGGGGACACGCACTGGTTTTCCTCCTTACTGTGAAGCATACCGTTGTGACATCCAGCCACAAGCATGTGCCTTTCCTCAGGGGTGCAGACCGGGGCAGAGGTTTTGGCGATGTCTGGGAGATGAGGCAGTCGAGAGACATGGTTCAACAGGCTGCCTGTCTTCGTGTTTGGGGTATTGCTGTACGTGTGGCGGTATTCCTCCTCGATGTTCCTCCCAAGCTTCCAGCGCTTCCACTTCTTCAGTATCTCGGACTGCACCTGAGGACGGAGATGAAAGTTATTGATGTGATAACGGGATAAAAGTCGGGGGTTGACAATCGTGTGTTTGTTGTGCAGATGAGGAAACTCACTTCTTTGTTGACAAAGCAGTACAAGATGGCCACCAAAAGACCCTGTGGAGACAACAATTCTGAGTCAGTCCTCTACATTAACTCATGACAGCTACAATATTCACTTTTGCTGAGCGCAATGACATGCACATTAGAGTGTCTTCTGTCTTAAGTTGAAAGTCTCCTGGCTACACTTGTCATCTTTGACTTTGGGATTCTTACTGCATCTTCCTCTCTCTGTCGCTCTGTTCATCAAGGCTTTTTTCCCATGTTGGTTGGCTGTAATCTTGACACACGTCTTTGTCCCCGTAGCAAAAAGGTCAGCATAATTATGTCACAGGGTGACACAACCAGTTAGCAGCACAGACAGCACGTTATGTTAATGTAATCCCTCCTGACACATAAGTAAATACAGCACTTCTCAGTTGTCTGGGGGAACGGAAGCTCAGACATAAAGACTTCTGAACAGATGACTGAACAAACTCAACTCGAGCGACACTTAGACAAGATGAAAGAATCATTTTTTTGGTTTGTTGTTTGTTTAGTAAAGCGTGAATTTTGAGATTTTGATTTGATTAGGCGATAAATGTAATTCTCAGCTGCAGTTATCCGTCTTTTATTTAAGCTTGTTAAGATTGACATCATTGAAATTTGAGAACAAAGACTGTCCTTTAAACGTAATGTTTTATCCTTTATCCTATTTGGGCATGTCTTACCCTTTAAGTTATTGCAAACACATTGTATGATTTTTATGTATTTTTTTATTTTGTCTCAGTACAGGAACAATAGGCGGAATTATGCAGCCATAAGATGCGTCACTCAACCACTGAACCCCTGAATCACAGCCCTGATATACACGACCAAGGACATTCAATAAATGACATTAGCTTTGTTCATTAAAATAATTGTATATGATTTTTATTTATTCCCGAGTCCAACCTGGAAGGAGGAGAAGAAGAGGTCAATGAAGAGCTTGGTGAGTCGCAGACCGATGGTGGTCTTGGTGGACTCGTCTGTCACAAAGATAAAGACCACCTGATGGATACCCAGCAGAGGGATCAGCGTCAGAGTCGACTTAGCCAACCTGAGATGGCGGGGATGAAAGACAAAGAGACAAAGCACAGAATAAGTGGAAAGAATAACATGAAAAATAAAGAGAAATAAACTGCTCTAACCTTTGACCTTACCTGAATTTGTAATCTGTGTATCTCATCTGGTGCGCTCGAAGTTTTGACACAAGAATTTTGATGATATGGATGAAGATAAGGAAGTTGATCTGTGAAAGACACCGGTGTTGATTATAATGGTTTGGATCGAATGAGTTACAGATGTTGAAGCGTCAGTTCAGCCAAAACATAATGTTTCTCACTTAATAGTCATGTGAAGACTTGCAAATAGTTTTGGTTTAATGTGCAAAGGTTTTGAGACACTGCCAAGCTGAAACTGCCTGAAAACAAAGGAGGTGTACAAAATTTTAATTGAAAAATTCCATTTGAAAAACTCAACAGCAATGTGTACTTTCCAATGCATAATCCACAATACTCATAGAAGTATGTAACAACAAAACAACAAAAAAAACGCGTTGAACAAAGAAATAGCAAAAGTTTCAAATGAAAACGCAGATAAAACAAAAACTATCTGTGTGGATTCATACCAATAGTTATAAGTACAAAACATGTTTTTTTGTGATTTGATTGATTTAACCTCATTACCCACACAGCAGAGGCACATTGTTATCAGGGAACCTTCACAGCAGCTGGCATTTCAAGAAACAGCAAGGGTTCCTCTGATGAAAATCACTTACATCTGATATAACCTTTTTACTAAATTATTACTGGTAATTAGTATGTTCTTGGAAGAAAAAAGTGAAGCTGGACCCAAATTGAGCATACAATTATTGTCCTGGCATTCTGTGATTATAAACGCAGGGCAGTTCTTAGTTGTTTTAGTAATTTTTTGTTGAGTACAAATGCTGGAATGAGCAAAAGTTACAAGCCAAGGAATATGTGAATAAAGATCAAACAATAGATATATTTTCAACTAAGACCAGCATGTACCCTTTTGAAAGTTTCATTATGTATGAAACTATGTGGCTACATTTTACATTTGTGTATTTATTGAATGCTTAGGCCATGTTAAATCACATAAATATAACATATACAATAACAACAATAACAATAGATAGATAGATAGATAGATAGATAGATAGATAGATAGATAGATGGGATAGATAGATAAGAATAGATAGATAGATAGATAGATAGATATCTATATGTATGTTTATGTTATTTCATATTAGCATAGACCTTAATCTGTCATGAATTATTTGAAAAGCAAAATCACATGTTCTTGCAGGGGCACTCTGATGTGCAGCTGGAACGTGGTCAGGATATAGGAGGAAACACTGAAATGGGAACTAGCCCTCCCATCCCTGCGACAACTCAAACACAGGAATTCCTGTGGGATACAGGCCACTTAGCAGGACGATTAATGCATGGAAAACGCCGGGATGTCTGTGTAACTGGCCTGACATAAGAGCCATGACAAATTGGACTTATATAAAAGCTCCGAACTGACCTTTGCAGAGCACACCTACAATAAAAGGGCACGGTCACAGTGTGGCTAGCTGTTAGCCGAACTGTGTGGTGGCTTACAGTGCAAGAAAAATCATATTTCTTTAATCCAAAAATCCTTTGAATCTTAAGATGTTTCCCTTATGTTAGCCTTTAAGCACAGACAGCCTTTTACACTCCATGAATAAATGAGGCATGTTAAATATTGTATAGAGTATGAATGGAAAAAGAATTGCTGAAATGCAAGTGCTGGGTAAACATGTTTGGATTTTGGTTTTGTGTATTTTCAATGCAAACATGATAAGCAACTTATATGGCACTTTGGATTTAAATGCTTAGGAAATAGCATACTGTGAAAGTGAATCTAACGGTCCAAAAAAAGAGCAGGAGGCAGAAACAGAATAAGAGGGAGGAAGAGGAAATTACCACAACAGCCAGCAGTATCTGAGAACGAATAATCCACCAGTAATTCATGTTGATATTTCGCTCCCAACACCTGAAAAAGAAAGGCATCGGAGAAACAATCAGTGAGAGACATACCTCAACATGCACACATATTTCAAACAAGGCTCACTGTAACACATTTCATTACACAGTTTTGTAACTCCTGCAACAGTAGAAAGCTTTCCTCTCCCTCGCTTACGAGATGTGAGAGACTGATGGCCTAGCTGTTCCACCAGAGGAGGCACACACAGCCCCATCGTGGTTTTTTAAAGCTTTACATAACAACACAATGTGTCGGCGGTTTAGCAAGTCCTCCCATAAAATCCCTTTCACCCCCATTTGCAGACCCTTAGGGACTGCATAATAAAGTTTGGGCGCTGAATGTTATCATGGAATATTAAAAACATGCCAACACAACTGCTGCTCTGAGATGGTTTTCATATTTGGCATCCTGCAGAAGATAAAACGTGTCTGTGTGAAAAGTTTAATTGCAGCCAACTCCTCGTGTCGTAATTACGTGTTAAATTGACCGTGAGCTGCTGAGTGTCAACATTCATATGCTTAGGAGAAAGGCCATCTGCCAGATTTTTTTCTGATATGAGATACTGTTATGAGTGTGGAATTAACATGGATGAGCTAAAATGTAAGCTGTTTTGCAGGATCTGATCAAAGCTACAGATGCAGGAGTAAGGGAAAGAGAGAGAGAGAGATAACTTACTCTTGATTTTCATATAGGTATTTAGCTACCACCCAGGGCACAAGAAATATTAAGGGGGTACCTGTAAAGAAATGAGAGCTGTCTAAATGCAAAACAGTAATTGTGTACACCAGTGTAACAGCCTTTTACATTTATCTGCCCTCACTTTATTTCCTTTCATGCAAATTGTCAGACACCCAACAGGCCAGCTCACCCCAGCCAATGCACAGGTATATTTTGAAGTAGTTCCTCTCTGTAAACACAGTGATGACCAGGAGGTTGTGGAGGTAGATGCCTTCCACCAGAAGCCAGTAGCTGTTGGCCATGATACTGTACTGCATCATCACCACGGCGATGCGACAGCTAACCGTCGTCTGCAAGACAGCAGTGAGGCTTGTTTCACAAATGATAAAAATATCAAGCTGTACTGAAGTTAAACACTATTCAGTTGTGAGATCAGCGGTGCAGCAGATGGGAGCTCCTTCTGCCTCCGGGATTCAGGCTTTGTGCCGGCAGCCATGAGATTTTACAACAGCAGCAACTTTCACCCCAGCCTCAGCCAGCTGTGACCCCCCACCCCCCAATGCAAACACACGAGCACGAGTACTCTACACATCAGCCTACATTGTTGACCCTTATCCCTTTTAAGGATAATTTGCTGCTACAATTATTTCTGTGGCACACAAAATGAGAATATAATGTTCTATGCATACAACAATTTTTACTTATTTATTCATATTGCACTTTTATACAAAATATAATTATGGCTGTGCAATCTTTGATAGACCTTATGTAGTTTTCATGTTTCTATATTCTATTATTTACATCATTTATAGGGTATGCAGACATACAGTAATCAGCATGATTATACAGCATGATACATAATAAGTACTTTGATTCAGACCGTGGTCCAGTTGCATTTTCCATTCTTAAAGATACCAATTTGCAGGATTGTGCTGCTGTGAGTGCTTTGTGTTTTTCTTCTGCATGATATATCTCAAAATATAGTTCTGTTTATGTACAACTCACCCACCAATAATAACTAAACTATTAAAGATGAGATGTAATCTAATTTAAACTTTGTGTTTAAATGTATTGTATGGTAAAAATAACAAAAGGCTTCTCTATTTGCCCAAAAAATACAGACTACCCTCCCCTTAGCAAAAAGAAAAAATACACCCTCCACCTCTAATATTTTGTATACAGTTCTTTAATGACACAATAAAACACTGCCTTTTATAGCGTGTTGATGAGCTGCAGATCACTACTGACCTCATTGTTCACCAGCAGCTCTACTGGAGGCATAGATGCCTGGGGGAATCCCTGCTCCTGGTCTCTACCGAGGTCCTGCGATGTGATGTTGGTGGCCTCCAACAGAGCGTCTTTGATGAGGATAGACAGCGCTCGCAGGATGAAGGAGGCAAACAGATTCATGTGGATGTTGTTCCTCATGCAGTGCAGTTTCCTGATGAGTGAGAGGCAAAAAATGTCTCTTTCACTGTAATCCTTCACAGAAAAAAATGCTTAAAGGGACAGTTTGACTGATACCACTCTATACCACACAATAGCCTCTGAAGCTGACTAATTAATTGGACTGCAACCAACAATTATTTTCATTATTAATTAATCTGTTGGTTTTTTTCTCGATTAATTGATTAGTTGTTTGGTCCATAAAATGTATGAAAATGGTGAAAAATGTTTCCCAAAGCACAAGGTTACTCATTTGTCTTGTTCACAGAGAACTAAAGAAACACTTATTGTTGCCCTACTAATTAAAATATTAGCCTATATATTACTTGTTTTTTGGGTAATTATGGGTGGTTATGTGCCAGACTATTTCTTGGCTGGAAGCTGTTGCAAGGCAACCAGCCAACTTCCAGGAAAGCTACTGCTCAGAGCCAGGAAATATTCCAGCAAATAAAAAAACAAAATGTCCTTTTAAACATTGATATAACGTGCTAATTATTGAGCTTTATAGGTGTTGGTAGGTGGATTTTATTATCTTTGGACAGAGCCAGGCTACCTGTTTCCCCCTGCTTCCCATCTAAGAGCTAAACTAAGCGTTTGCTGACTGTAACCTTACATTTGATGGACAGATATGAGAGTGGTAGCCTATCAGTCTATCTCCACCAGAGAGTGAATAAGTGTATTTTCTAAAACTTCTAATTATTCTTTTAAATGTGTTTTAACCACCTTGCTGTGTTTGATGCAGAATTTATTTTAATCAAAAATCATAATTACCTGAAGAATATGAGGATGCCAAGTGCCAACACCAAAGCCACCAGTGATAAGGAATAGCCCACTGTGTACATGACCCGAATATGGCCATAGTACTGCTGCAAATTAAAACACATACGGACACATGGACTTTAGACTGGTGAGAAGGGTGATATGCGATGTGGTTCATTTTAGTTTAAATTTTTAACTGTAACTTCAAATTCAGCTCTTCAAATTAGCTAACACACACAAAATATTAGTATCTCTTATGTCTAATGCCGTCTGATAACGAGACATTTCTTACCACTGGATCACTAGAGTCACACTCGCTGGTATTCTTCGTAGTCACCCACTGGCCGTTTGCATCACATTCCTGATACACCATGCCGTGCTGAACTACACATATCCACAGACAGACACACACACACACACACAGTCTCTGTTATTTACTGGAAAGTCCAGTTGTCATGGACAGCTGTCTTTCTCTGCAGGATCTACGAATGACTGTGCATCAACATGACACATCTGCTAACCCACACGTCTCTTACCTTTATGGTGCCACGGCAGATACCACGGACAAGACACACTGACAGTGGTGTTAGGGAGTCCATCGGGCCAACAAGCGTAATAGTCAAAAGTCCTGTTGCACACAAGGCCTGGAGATAAAAAAAACATTATATACAGGTCAGAGTTTCTCCATGTCTTTGAAGTGATGGCTGCTGGTGGCCATTATGGCATTTGTGCACATCATAGTCTTTCATTTTGACTTCAGAGTAAAGTCCTCCATCGATGACCTTCCACTACCACACCTTTCATCTTCTCAACAAAGGATGTAAACACTGCCAGTTGTTAGTGATAGCAGAGGTGGATGTTCAGGTATATAATGTCCCATGTCCTCTATACCTGCTTATATGCTCCTACACTCATGGGGACAGGAAGGGTGTATGAGTGCTGCGGAGTGGTGTGATTTTGTGTGCAGTGTGGGAAGCTGCCTTTTTGAAAGTTGGAGCATCAGTGTTCTCCGCCTCTATTCCACAAGCTAACAGACTATAATGCAACTGAAGGGCAGCATTCGCCATTTAGTTAAACACTCTGTTGATGGAGCGAACTGGAGCTCTCGCAGCGTTTGCAGAAAGCAGAGAGTGTGGTGCAGCAAATAGAAAACTGGGAGCGGCTGCAGGCAGAGTGATTATACAATGGTTTGAGCAGGGAGCGGAAATTGCAGCCGCTCCATAGTCTGGTGACCATGCGACCTAACCATTACCTGCTCTACTACATTAGATAGTTGCCACTGCACCACAAGGTGAGGGTAAATGCTGATTTTTATCTCTAATGTGAATGCAAATTATACATTACAAAATAATACCTCTTTCACATTTACCTTCTCAGAAAGCACCAATAATGATTAAGGAATCATAGCTTATTATAATGTTGCACTTTGTTGTTTCTCTTAAAGGTCCAGTGTGTAACATTTAGGAGGATCTATTCGAGGAAATGTAATCTTATATTCATATGTATGTTTTCATTAGTGTATAATCGCCTGGATATAGGAATCATTGTGTTTTCACTACCTTAGAAGGAGACATTTTTATTTCTATTTAATGTTTCTACAGTAGCTGAAAAATCTCTGATAAACCCGCTGTACACTACCTATCCAGCACCAAACAGATATTTCTCTCAGGATCAAAACAGACCTAAAAGTAGACGTAATATTGGACATTCATCAGGTTATCAAAAACACCACGCTAAATGCTCATACTCATATATACAATAAGTCAACTGTATGCTAACCAGTTCGCCACATTAATTAACAGTAAAATGTCATAATATTTAGGGCTTGTTTCTGCTGCCCCCAAAGTGGCCACAAAATTCTTCTTTAGTTATTTCAGGTTTAAACATTAAAAATGAGTTATACGTTCAGCTCACCAGTGCTTGGCGGGTCTCGGCTGTTGTTGTGATCACACTCCATCATGTACAATTTCCAACTCTCCTTCAACTTATCCAGAGTAGCAGCAGGAGACACCTAAGGAAATGGTGGAGCACATAACAGGATGTGGACGTAGTGTAACCAGGTGGGTAAGAAAGATTTTGAGAATGTAGGATTCACACAAACCATGAAGATAAAATGGTTGCAAACTGAATTGGTATTAATTTGTTTCACTTCACTTCATATATACAATATTCTGTAAACAACCCATCCTCAAGATGGGGATATAATCTATCAGAATTACTCTGTGTTCTACCCTGATGCATTGTCTGTTTGGAGGGCTTGTACTACTGTGTGGGCAGGTTGATATATTGTACACTGTAATACTCGTGTCATTAAAAAAACAGGTATAGTTTGTTTAAGCTTCCAAACCGTAGATCTCTGGCATGTTTTAGAAGAAAGCAGAGCTGAAGAAACAACACCCACCCCCACACTGTAAAGGCCAGTGACTAATGGAAGTTCACAGGCTGTTAACCTCTGGGGAAAAGTGTGTACATGTATGTATATGCATGCTCTTGGGACCCACCTGGATGCTGCTGTAGACAATGAGTGCTGCCAAAAGGAGGAACAGCCGTGACATCCCTTATTCCTGCTGTTGGTGCTGGGAGGGGATACTGCAGGACGGGGAAGTGTTTTCACCTCATAAGGGGGCTTATCTACGCTCGCCACACTGCCTGGATGACACAGAGACACACAATCCATCAAAGCTCATTGCAAACACTCTACTTATTACCTCGGCTCAATTTGGCCGTGCGAAGCAAGAGAACCAAAAAAGGAAAATGCTACATCATATCTATCACACTGCAATTACACCAGATTTAAAGGCATGCAGAAGAAGCAGTAGTAAAATCAAGAGAATATTTCAGTGTAACTTTTATCCTAAATAGGCATAAGGGGGATATCCATTGTGAGCCTGACCAGTGCCATTTCCATTCTTCCATTAATTTACACGGTTAACAGCTGAATGATACAGCAGCACGGACTACCCAGAACCCGAATGTCCAGAACATCAAACACAGGGCCAAAAACCTCCAGGAAATGCTGTTTGTCCCATCAGCATTGACAGCTGCAGCTCAGCAGAGCTTCACTTGCTCAGTGACTCACAGTTGGCCGCTGTCCACCTGAATCTTAAAGCCTGTCAGTGTTTGATTGAGCATGTGTGCCAGAGGTCACTCACCTGTGTGTCGATCGACGCCACAAGCTCCCCCAAGAGATTTGGTTGAAGCCAGAGAACGGAACGAAATCTGAAACGTTTCTGCAAAAAACACCTTGACCATGGAAACATTTTTGGCTAAAACGTTTCAAATTCCATTCTGTTCTAGTCTCGTGGCAGGGAGGAGGATGGGCTCATGTTGATGTATTTGGAATTTCTTTTGTTTACTGGGGGTATGATGTTTGTTCAAGAGATAAGAGCACAATGTGTCATGACAGATGCAATATGTATGTATGCGCTCAAGAAAGCCTCAATTCAAATCAGAGTTTTTTTTTACTCTGCGTTTTGACTGAACATGTCAACAAGCTTCAAAAGTCTGGGTTGAATTAACCACCAGGAGTAACAATATAAAGGTCCACCCTTATATATTACAAAGCTCTACTGGAAGTCAGACATCAGATAATATCTAAACCAAAGAGCCATAGTTTCTAAATGGCCTGTTCAGTGTAATGACCACAGGATGTAGTTAGCATTAGCTGTAGTTCAGATTGACTGATTGCCATAGGCGCCTGTCGGATCAGAGACTCTCTTGTCTGGTCTGACATCGGGTCAGGACGTGTCCAGCTGAGATCAAGGCACTGACTCTCGTGCCCTTAACACAATCAGACATGTCACACCTGACATGTTTCCACTGCTAATACAATGTATACAATTGTTTTACAGTAACAAAAGTGTCTTAATACAAAGAAGGATCTCTGGCATGAGATGTTTTTTCTAGATGTCGGCATTGATTCAAATAGGGCTCAT